TTGAAAAGGCGGGAAGGGATATCGTTAGGATAGACAGACTAGGGAAGACATTTTTGAGCCACCTTTGGGAAGGTAGAAAGGAACGATTGGCCATCGGTGATCGGTCCTGTGGGAACAATGCTCCGTCCTCTCGAGGACGCGTGGTCAATGGTCTAACCGCTACGGCATGCGCCCCCCGCCCCCCGCCCCCCTCCCGCTCTCTCCCCACCTCCGCCCCTCTCTGCTTTTGTCGTCGTTTCTCTCCCGCGACTCTCGTCTCGGCACCCTCGTTCCGCCTAGGCCAAGGTAGTCGAGACGGCCAAGGTGAGCGTAGCCAGTTTGTGCCGGAGCAAGAGGTTAGGCAGTCCCGAGTGTTGATGTGGTAGATCCGCAGCAGAGTATGGTATGTAGCAGCACGGCGAGGTGCGGCGAAGTGTGTGAGTTCGTTTCAACCCCCATCATCTGGGCAAGCGCTGGCATGTCTGTTTACCACGGTAGTGTGCGTTCTGATCGACGTTGTTTTTGGTGCTGGTGCTGCTGCCGCTCTTGTTGCCTGTGATCAGATTGCAGAGCGCGTACCCCATTATCTGGACAAGCGCTGGCATGCCTGCACCGCATTAGTCAACGTTCTGGTTGGCGCTGTTTTGGTTGCTACTGCTGCTGCTGCTGCTGCTGCTGCTGCCGCTGCTGTTGCCCTTGCTCAGATCGCCGCTGGCATGTCTGTGTATCAAAATACTGTATGTTCTGGTCGGCGTTGTTGTTGTTGGGCTGCTGGTGCTGCTGGTGCTGCTGCTGATGATGATTCTGCTGATTCCGCTGATTCTGCTGATTCTGCTACCGCTGCTGTTGCCCTTGCTCAGATCGCAGAGGGCCATTACGCGCTGACGATCGACGTCGGGGACATCGCCAAGGAGTACACGGTACCGGGCCAGTACGTGCAGATCAAGGTGACCTCCAGCGATAAGCCGAGGTTCTTCGCGATCGCCTCTCCCCCGGATGCCAGGTACAGCAGCAGCAGCAGCAGCAGCAGCAGCAGCAGCACGACTTTTGTCCGATCTGATCTGATCGAGAACGCCGCTCTCTTGTTGTGCTTGCTCCCCTCGGAAACCCACAACCTCGCCCCGCACTCGGGGAGCAATGGGTTGCACTCACTCGGACTCGGTACTGCTGCAGCTTGCAGTGTTTTCCCCGTGCATGTTCGAGACTCCCTTTGCTTCTTGTCTTGTTGTGAGCGTGCTGTCTACTTCACAGCACCCCCGCTCGCTCGCTCGCTCGCTCGCGCTCTCTCTCTCTCCGTCCCTCTTCAGCTGCATCATCACGTTTTTTTTTTTCTTGTCCATATTTTCTGATCGCCAGCATATCCCTTTCGGGATATATGTCTGCCGCAAGGTCAGTACAAGTGGGAGAAAAACGCTCCGAAAAACAAACTTTAGATCATCTCCAGCGCAGACCCCAAGTGGCAGCGCGCCAAGAAGTCTACATGTAGACACAAGGTTGGTTGTGCACGATATTGCATTCCACTTCCAACTAAACGTTGCCGGATGTCATTGCTTCGCGCATTTCCTTCCACAAAACTGTGGAGGGCTCATGTTGGACTTCTCCACCGACTATTGCAACAGGCCCATCCACTCCCCACCGGAGGTGTGGAAACGCTGTTCAAAGACAAATCAACCACGCCTTTCTGTTGAGACCAAAGCGTTCGCTCACTGTATGTAC